TATGTATATATATATATATATATATATATATATACACACACTGTATATATATATAATTTTTTTTTCCTGATGTAAAAATTACAAGTGGACCTCAGAAAAAAATAAATTATAAAATTATAATTTTTTAACAATTAAATAATAATAATAACAATAATATTAATAATAATAATAATGCAGTTCATGACCCTTTCACTGAAATGCCCCTGCAGGTCAAACTCTGAGGAACCGCAGCAACCTGACAACAACCCGATTATTTTAGATCTCTTACCTTAGCCTCAAATCAGGATTCTGAAAGGAAAAAAAAAAGCAAAGAAAAGGGTTATTAATTTGAGATCACTGTTCTACTGGTATGCCATACTACTGGTATGCCATACATTACAAAAATTCATACAATTCCCAGGCTAGTTTATCATACTGTAACATGTTGTTTGCTAGACACCATTCAGTTAATCTCTATATTAAGTTTCAGCTCAGATTCATCAGTCATTCCTGTTCTGTGATATTACAGTATATTTCAGCCCTTATTTATGCACCCTAAACAAGGCCTGTCGCAATTATCAATATATCGACTTATTGCGCAATATATGTACATGACCTCAATAATTTTTGATTAATTATTTGATTAAATATTTTGAAATCACAACGAAACACACAGCGTCACACACGGCGGGCTTGAGTGAGCGGCGGAGGACGGGCTTGAGTGAGGAACGGCCAGCGGGCTTGAGAACGGATCAGCTCTAGGCATGACGAAGCGGATATCGTCCTCTTTTGTTTCGCTTGCACAACAAAACACAGCATCTTCACGACATGACGGCGGCGGCAACAACAATACTACAAATGTCACCATGTTTTGTACATTCCACTTGTGTCTGTGTCTTTTGCCGCTTTTCGTACTTAACGTGGTGTAGTCATGAGGCGCTAGTTCAAATTTAATCTTCAAATTTTTTTTAGTTCAAAAGAAATATCGCAATTATTTCTGGGGCAATATATCGCACAACAAAAAGTTGTTATCATGACAGGCCTACCCTAAACAGGAAATTTGCTTCACCAAGGACTTCTTAATTTCTCCCCGTGGTCTGAGACTTGACTACTTACTACGTTCACATTTAGACATTTAGGAGAGACTTTTTTCCAAACTGACTTACAAATAAGGAACATACTCCAAAATCAAACACACATGAAACATCTAACCAAAGTCTTCAGAAGTAACTGAAAACTACATGCAGGTGTGTTGTATAGGGATGGAGCTAAACATCACTATCAATGAACAGGAAAGCTATGCATGTATTCAAGTTATGATGTCACATCACTTTGTAAGGATTATTTCAACATAAATCACAATCAGATGACACTGACCTGGTCATTTGACATTTTCCAGTTTTTTCAAAATGCTTACACAGTTTTTGAAACTATGGCTCCATTTTTCAAAACCACAAAACACACACAATATACAAAACATCACACAGATCTTGCAAAAGCAAACACTTCTTTAAAAACTGTTTAAACTCTTCTAAAAATTTTATTTTTGCATAGTAACTCTACACACAAACATAAAATAATTAGCCTCATACTATCAAACTACACACAGATGTGAAAAACATAAAACACTACTCTCGTGTAGTGTGCAGTGAAGAACAGGAGTTTGTCATAGCACTCGCACATGCATATGAACATATATACTGCAGCCCTAATACACAGTATGTATGACTGATGAATTTAACACAGTTATGCAACTGAACTGAATCAATACTGAACTGACTTGAGCTGTAGAATGATACTATTGGCTTGTTAGAGCTGCTTTACAGCAGAATGTGTATTTGATACTATTGTGAAGCTGCTGTGAAACAATCTATATTGTATAAATCACTTTAGAAATAAAGTTGACTTTCTGACTTGGCTTGTATGCATGTTCAGAATAGATAGATAGATAGATAGATAGATAGTAGGGGTGGGCGATATGAGCTAAAATTCATATCACAATATTTTACACTGCCCAGGCGATATCGATATTATATTGCGATATGAGAAAAAAAAATGACAGGCAAAATATTTTAACCTTATATAACTAGAAAAAGTGAGGGATTGGA